CACTATACCAGGATTTGTAGCCTGATTGGTAGTTTATAGCTTTAACTGAAGCTGTGTGCTAACTTTTAAACACTGCCTTTGGTCCAAAAATGTAGTCTCTTCAGCTTTGTTATTAATCAACTGAAGAAAGATTTGGCATACCCATTCATTTACCCAGCACTTAAATGGGTTCATAGTCAGCTGGTAATGTACCACTGTGTGTTTTCTGCAAAGTCATGCTAACGTGTTCATCATGGTAAAAATCTGACCTGGAGGAAGCACATAAATATTGAATACATAGACTGCATTTATATTTAACCTATGATGATGTCTTTTCAATAATAGAGGCACAGTTACTATGCCAAACTAAGGACAAAGATTCCATTAATAGAAATGATTGTTGATTTAGTCTGAGCACACAAACCGATTTTTATCTTTTTTTTTTATTTTTTATTTTTTATAAAAAATAAAACAGCTTCAAGTCCAAAGACAAACATTTTAGATCTCTAAGTCAAGATATTTTCAGGGTATTTCACATTGATTGTGCCATAAAAGAGTGTATGTGTGGATTCCCGGAGATAATAATGTATATATATGATCATCTGAAATTAAAAAAGATAGTTTCTAATAGAAACGCTTTAGGCTATTTGTATCCCCCAATAGAAACTTTCCATTGTGGGATACAAATAGTCTAACAAGTATTCTCACCATAGATGCTGAGATGGTTGCTTAGTAAATGTGCTGCTACTGCTGCTTGATGGCTGGATGGATGCTGCAGCGTTAACATAAACAGACTGGCATAAACGTCAGGCTGCGTACGGTGTAAAGGCATTTCTCACTCCCTAACATGTCAGATGAAGCATATTTTTTCTGTTCTGATATAACAGAAATATTACATTTTTATGGCTACTTATAATTTACACAAAGTTAATTAAAGATATGCCCCAGCAAAGATACAAAGATACAGTGCCAGTGCTGCGGCATCAACAGATGCCTGTCATGGCTGCAGCAGATATTGTCTCATTGCATCTGGACACGATTCAAAAGTAAATTGGCAAACGTGGCAAAATAAAGTATTATGAATTGTTTTAGCATCTAGCAAGGGTCTGTAGGATCAACAGCTGCAACACAGTATGTTCTAACAACATTGTTGTTGCTGTTAGCTCATTAGAACCCCATCTTTAAATCCATAGAGTCTACATACCTCTGCTCTGGGCTGTTTTTCTGTTTTCCTCCTTGTTTTGCTTTTGGAAAGCTGCTCCTGATGGCTTTCATTTTTTCTTTTAAACTCTCACATTCCATCAATGAAAAGTGTAACAGATCTAGGGCTGTAACTAAACATTAATTTGCAAATCGATTCATCTGTCGATTATTTTTTGCGATAAATGTATTAATAATGGGATTGCCAAAGATTCTTTAAAGAAGACTTTTTATTAAGTTAAACCAGGTGCAACTCAAACAATATCAAGAGTTCTGGATCGAGCTATTGATCTTTTTTTTTTATCTTGAATGCAAAATATATATTCTGTTACCTAAAGGCATGTTTTAGAGTCTATACTCCAGTTAACGATTAATCATTAATCATTTACTAAATTAGTTGACAATTATTTCAATAATTGATTAATCACAGTTAATCTGAGTAATTGTTTCAGCCCTAGACAGACCTCCACAGATGCTTGCATCATCTACGTCACCCATCACAGCCAAAACAAGCGTCAGAGAAGTAGGAGGTCATACACCCAGATCACTGCAAAGGGTTTAAATATTAAGGTTATATTTCAGTGTCTTTCAGAGGAAAATAATAGGCATGTATAGAGATTGTTTCATGATGTATAGATTCTATTTATTTATTTATTTTTATTATCCTGCAGATGGCGCCAAAGGAAGCTGACTGTCCCTACTGTGTCTTGACCTTTTATCCCAGTTTTGTTCTGTGACATATTAAAAATTCCAACAAGTTTCCATCAGGGGGCCATGCATTTTATAAAGCAGAATTGTCTTTTTCTTTAGTTTTTTTATGGCACTAGTGGATCAGTGGCTCGTTTTTTGGACAGTAGGCTTACAGGAAGCGGGGTATGAGAGAGGGGGAGAGACATGCAATAAAGGGCCAAAGGTCTGATTCGAACCCGGGTCAGCTGCATCAAAGCCTAAGGCCTCCATACATGGGTGATGTGTATAAACCACTGCGCTATGAAAGCATGCCCAGAATTATCTGTTCAGATAGAGGAACCACTGGGGCCCAATCTGTATCACCGAAAAGATTCAAACTGATGATCTGAAGGCTCGTTTTGGAGGGGATAGGGTTAGGTTCTGTGGTTTTAGGAAGATGTTGAAGGAGCAGGGCCTGAACAATGGAGGCTGTTATGTTCAGTCCAATCTTTAATGCCTGTTTTACTTTAGAAAGAGAATTACAGTAGAGGAGTGCTAAGTGTAGATAAAGGTACATTGGTTGCTGTTGCTGTTCTGGACTAATAATTTGTTTTCTTTCTGTTTTGTTGAAGGGGAGAGCTGCTGTCATGTGATTCACACACGTTTGCCGGCGTATCCATGACATATTGTAGAGAAGTTGGAACTCAGCTGAGCTGTGTAGCCTTGCGGTGCTATGCTTTGCTGGTCGAAGCTGTAGGCCAGTTCCCTTTCATTCTTTTCAAGAAGTTTACTAAGCTCAGAAACCAGTAGAAAGGATTGTCTGCAGCATCTTCTTATTGTCCCCATGGTGAAGGTTCTGGAATTATTGGAGATGCTAAAAAAAACTGTTTTCCGAGAGTTCACTTGATTAGCTATACCTGATCACCTTGGCCAGGTGATTCAACCGTAACTGCCTCTCGCATTGCCAAAGCAGCAACCACCAGCCCCTGCAGCCAGCTTCTCTCCTACCTTATGAAGAACAGTTTAAGTGTATGTTCATCCAAGCTTCAAGCCTTGAAGACCTGTTGTTCCCACACCTGCAAATGCCTTCCAGCAAGAAGCAAGAAAAGTAAAACATGTTTTCTTTATTTGCTACCTGATTTCTGCCTGGTAGTGGCTTAATTAGAAATAGTTTTATTTTCTTTTTGCCTGCTCCAGGAGTCCGCTTGAACTTTCTGTTGGATGCTGTAATGTGTGATTTAAACCATGTGATAAGTGTGTTACTATTGTTTGGTTCTGTGAACGACTGCAATGTTGTGCAGCGCTCACACCCACTAGGGGTGGCAAATATGTTATTTAATCAAATAATATTCGGAATGTCATATAGTGTTCTGCGAACACAAACCCATCTGGTTGTGTGTCAGAACAACAAAAGAAAGCGTGAATCAAGATCAAAAAGATAAAAATATACAGATATGGAATTAATTCACCACAACTTCCGTTTCAAATAATAACGTTTCTCAACAAAAAACATTTAGCCCCAAGTCAAACAAACCTTTGACTAAACTAGTGAAACTCAACTAAACTAAGTTAGTATGTACACACAGATTACAGGTTACATCTCGACAAAGTTTTTATTAATTAAGCAGGGAAAAATAAAATTTTAATCTTGGATTTACTTACCATTATTAAAAACAGATTTGGTCATTAAATGTTAAAATTGATCATTTATGTTAATACTTAAAACTTTTCATTCTACAATGAAACTTATGCACCAGAAAGTGGCACAATTATTTTATGGAAACAACTTTGATAGTCAGTTTCTTATATAACAGGGTAGTTATTATGCTTTGCATCTCCAACAGCAGCACAGCATGGATTCCAAGTATTGCTAAACAAAACTGCAAATGATTTAAAGGTAGCCGCATGCTATTAGTCTTTAAATGACCCAACCCTCCTAGCATAGCTCATTAAAAAGCAATGAGAGAGGCAGAAAAGCGACTTATTTAGAGGAGCCTGCCCAGGAACATGAAGCCACTTCAAAATTCCATGAGTCATCGGCGTTGTCTCATCATCGCCTTTTCTTCTGACATAAATTTTAAAACATTTAAAGTGAAGAAAACCAAATGTAAAAGTTTTTTTGGACTAAATGTGGATTTACTAAATCATATTCAAAGCTATTTCACTATCCCTTCTTTAACGTTATTAAAGCTGACTTTAAAATTGCTTATTAATGATAAACCAGCATGTAACAACATTTAAATGTCCAAGAGAAAATGTTCCTAATGAAACTTGTGACATTAAACA